TACGATGCCTAGGGATATCTATCCATGATTTGTCAGGAATTATCCTCATCTGTAAATTATATATAATTATTAAATACGATTAGTCTCACAACTACTAATACATCCATTACTCTTATACATTCAACACACATCAAACATACGTTCATATATCATTTAACAATATGAATATTTATCTACATAAAATATATATAAAACATACGTAAAAACTAATCACACTAATCTTGCGGCTGTCATAGGAAGGCTTCTATCCATTAAGAATATAGTAGTGCTTACATCCAACTTCATATACTTTGTATATTTTCATTTCTTGAAAATTTCGGCAGCACCTACCCGCTGTTCTCCCTGTACACTGTGCGGATGTTATTATGCGTATCAGTAATAACCCGAAACGCAGAACAACATACGCTTATTGTACACGGAGAACAACGAATAGGTGCTGCCAAAACTTTCAAGAATGAAAATATACAAAGTATACAAAGTTGGATGTATGCACTACTATATTCCTAACCCGTCCGAGAAGGACAGATCCAATAATTACGAATTTCAGTACCAATTTTTTATTCCTATAATATAAAATAAACGCTCATTTTTGGGAGAAAACTTCGTCTCCTACCCAAATCTGAGTCGTATATCATATATTATAAGTCCAAATAATTGGATGTAATTATTGGACGGAAGTCTAGGGATAACGTTATTTTTTTATTCACCTAAATTGGATTATAACACATTATAAAAATTTATAATGTGTTATATATCACTCTATTTTTTACAAAAAATTATTTCACATATTTTCACATCACAAACTTAAATAATCACACATACTTATAGCACGAATGAAACTTAAATGAGTTAGGGTTTATAAGTGTTTAAAACTCAATAATGATAACTAGTGTTGTTCAAATGAATTAACATGTATTTAATTAAGTTAGGATTTTCAGAATTGAACTCGTTTATTTTTCAACATAATTAGGGTTTTTAACCAAATTCAACAATAATTAATAATAAAATTGAAATTTCTAAAGCTCAGTAGAAAAATCATACCTTTTAAACTGATTTCCGCAACGGACACCGCCGAAGGAGGGGGGGTCGGGAGGTTCCGGAGGAGGGGGGCTTGGCCGATTGGAGAGGGGGCTTGTTCCGAGGGGGGGGGGAGATCACGAGGGGAGGGAGGGCACCTTGCGAAGGGGAGGGATGGGGGGCTCCAGGGAAGGGGGCGGAGGGGGGCCTGTCGAAGAGGGGGGAGGGGCGCCCGAGGGGGAGGGGGATGGAGGGGTGAGGAAGGGGAGCACGTGAGGAGGGGGTGAGCGGGAGGAGGGCGGCCGGGGGGCCAGCCGGAGGAGGGGGGAGGCCGGAGGGGGGTCGGAGGAGGGATAGAGGGCACAGGAGGGTCGGGAGGGGCCGAAGGAGGGGTCGGGGGGGGGGGGGGCGAGGGGGCGCGGGGGGAGGCCGGGGATGGGGGATGGAGGGGAGGAATGAGGAGGGGGATGGGGCCGAAGGAGGGGGGGTCGGGAGGGGGGAGGGCCGGGGGGGCGGGGCAAGGCCGGAGGAGCGGGGGTCGGACAGGGCGGCAGGAGGCGAGGGAGGAAGGGGTCGGGGACGGGTCGGGAGGGGGAGAAGTGGCGGCTGATTTGCCCTGGGCAAACTTAATAGTTTGCCCTAGGCAACCTAGACGGATTTCCGTCTAGGTTGCCTCAACCTAGACGAAAATTCCGTCTAGGTAAAATTTCCGTCTAGTTTGTTCCGTCTAGTTTGGATCAAACTAGACGGAAAATTTCGTCTAGTTTGACAAACGAGACGGAACAGTCAAACTAGACGGAAATCCGTCTAGGTTGAATAGTCAACCTAGACGGATTTCCGTCTAGGTTGATTCAACCTAGACGGAAATCCGTCTAGGTTGACTAGTCAACCTAGACGGATTTCCGTCTAGTTTGACTGTTCCGTCTCGTTTGTCAAACTAGACGAAATTTTCCGTCTAGTTTGATCCAAACTAGACGGAACAAACTAGACGAAAATTTTCTGTCTAGTTTGCTCCAAACTAGACGGAAATTTTTTCCGTCTAGTTTGTTCCGTCTAGTTTGGTCGATTTTCTACTAGTGTTTGTATATTTCATCTTTTTTAATATCAAGAAATTGTAACAATTTTCACAGCACTTTCATCTCCTTCAACAGGTACGTGTCTTTGTTATTTTCTTCTTATTAGAGTAGATTAGATTGTTTAATCAGTACGCATGTATATTATTCACTTATCATATGCATGTAAAATTAATATATGCGTTTAAATTTTTCTTTTGAACTGTTGTATGCATGTAAGCCCTTCATATCTAGCTATTTTCATGTTTACTTAATCCTAATGTTAGGAGAATTTTAGATCAATTCAATTTAATAGTCTTTATGAATTTATTTTATCTTTTACGTAGGAGTTGGATTTGTTTGTTATGTATATTATTCAATCATCTCATACTTTAACGAGATTTTTTTTTGAATTGTTATAGCCACTTTTGCATCTTAACCCTTCAAAGTTGGATTTGTTTATTATATCATTGTATAATTACTATTATCATAGAATTCTTTAAGACCACATACCTTATATATATATTGCTCATCTTGCACCCGTGAACATAAATGCAAACAAATTAATTAAACCCTAATTAAGTTTGTTGAATATTATTATTTAAATAGAACTCTATTTATAATTGTTATCCTCTCACATGCAACATAACATACCAATATATATAAACCAAGAAATTACAATAATTTTCTTAGCACATTTGTCTCCTTCAACAAGTATGTTCCTTTGTTGTTTTCTTCTTATTATGTTAGATTTGATTATTTTAAGGAAATTAATTATATTGTATGTTTGTATATTTCATCTTTTTTAAGATCAAGAAATTATAATAATTTTCACAGCACTTTCATCTCCTTCAACAGGTACGTGTCTTTGTTATTTTCTTCTTATTAGATTAGATTAGATTGTTTAATTAGTACGCATGTATATTATTCAATTATCATATGCATGTAAAATTAATATATGCGTTTAAAATTTTTTTTAAGAAGTATTTTTTAATCCTATATCTTGATCATGGACAGTGTTATATGTATATGTACGAGTTCGTGAAAATATTTTGGTAGACAAAAATACCATTGGAACTCAAATACTAATCCATAGACCTCAATTATCTAATCCCGCTTCCATTTAACTAACCTCTAATAAAAAAATTCCCCTTATATATATTGTTCATCTTGCACCCGTGAACATATATGCAAACAGATTAATTAAGCCCTCATTAAGCTTGTTGAATATTATTAGCTAAATAGAACTCCATTTACAATTGTTATCCTTTCACATGCAATATAACATACCAATATATATAAGCCGAGAAATTATAATTATTTCCATAGCACTTTCGTCACCCTCAATAGGTGTGTGTCTTTGTTATTTTTTTCTTATTAGATTAGATTAGCTTATTTTAAGGTCATTAATCATATTGTATGTTTGTATGTTTCGTCCTTTTTTAGATCAATAAATTGTAATAATTTTCATAGCACTTTCATCTCATTAAACAGGTATGTGCCTTTGTTATTTTTTTTCTTATTAGATTAGATTAGAAAGTTATTAGTGATTAATTAAAAAAAATACTTATTAAGCAAGTTTTGCCAAAAATTATTGGGTAGTTTGGTTATTTGACCACACGTGAACTAACAGTGTTAATTTGATAAATTTCTGCCAAGAATTTTTGGGGGTTTAGTGAGAGTTTCAAAGGTAATAGGGGTTTAGTGTCAGAAACTCAACTTGTTGGGGGTTTAATTACCCATATTTTATTTTATAGAGATACTAGATTAGTTGCTACACGTGAAAACCTTATATCTATTGAAGAATAAATTAATTGTTCAAATGGGTTTGATATCATAGTCCTTTATATGTAAAGTTTGGATTTCTATTTAGTATCTCAAATTGTTTAATGTAAATATATAGGAAAGAATCTCTTAACAAAAAGGTTATCATATTTTCTTTGCGGCATACCAAAATGAGGTAGAGGAACAAACTTAAGTATGAAAAAGGTAATAAAAAGTTCATTCACATGCATATACTCAAAGAAATATGCTACAGTTGAGTCAATAGCTTTTGATGATTGAGTAGATATAAGAGGGCTTTTTTAATATTAGTCCACAAATCTTTTGACATTTAACCACGTGCATTGCACGTGCATAAAAATTAGTATAATAAAATGTACCAGTTGTGCTAATACTACAGTTGATATGCAACAGAAAAAATAATACAACAAATTATATAAATAATACGTAATTAATAATATAACGTATTATACAAAATAATATGTAATAATAATAATAATACAATATATTATTTAAAAATAATACGTCATAGTATCAATAATACAACAGATTAATTCCAAAAAAAGTCACCACACGTAATTAATTTATAAATATTAAAATCATTTAAATAAATATAAAACTTGGATTTTATAAATATAAAATCATTTAATCAAAACAATATATGCGCAACAACATATACGCGCGCACAACAAAATGCTCCATCAAAATATAATCCAAATCCAACAAATTAGTTAACAAACCAACCTTGATCGTTAATCAGGTTGGTAATGTACCTCTGCTGACCTTCCTTGGATTTAATGAAAAACCTTCTACCTTCACGTTCATTGTCATATACATAATCTAAAATCCTATCTAGAAATTCCTCAGAATATTCATTCCTATGTTTCTTCAACGCTGCAGCCAACTGCTTAGTCCAATGAACAATGTGTTGGTTTCTCATTGACTAAGACATTGAGGGCCTGTTTGTTTCACACATTTTATGGAATATGAATGGTATTTGGGTCTGACAGTGGCATTTTCGTAATTAAAGGATTCCAAATGAATCATATTCTTGAGTTTGGTTCAAAAAAAATTTACAGAATTGCTAATCCGTAAAGTGCTCAAAACAGTGGATATTTATGGAATCCCAAATCCTATCCGTTTGAGAGGAATTGGGCCAAAAAGCTGACAACGCTCCTCTTTCTTATTCTGATTCTTAATCTTCTTCGCCAGATCTGGTTTTTGAGAGGAATTGGGCCAGATCTGCCGTGGTTTCCCCACTGTTCTTCTTCCGCCTCAGCTCTCTATTCTTCGCGCCTCTTCTTCGCTTCTCTTCTCCGGCCGCCCTTTGGGTTTCTTTGCGTGGTCGAGGCTGGTACTTGAAACCCTATATCTGGTACGCTCCCCAGAAGATCACTAAGGCCATGAAGCTCGTCCCCGCTGCCAAGGTCCTCCGAGTCCAGGAGGCCGTCGTCAGCGGCCGCCCCTTCTCTGAAACCCTGGTCGAGGCCCTCTACAACATCAACGAGCAGATGCAGACCGATGACATCGACGTTCCCCTCACGAAGGTGAGGCCCGTGAAGAAGATGAGCAGATGCAGACCGATGACATCGACGTTCCCCTCACGAAGGTGAGGCCCGTGAAGAAGATTGCGCTCGTTGTCGTCACTGGAGATCGAGGGCTCTGTGGGGGTTTCAATAACGCGATCATCAAGAAGGCCGAGTCGAGGATCACCGAGTTGAAGACATTGGGGCTGCACTACACTGTTATTAGTGTTGGGAAGAAGGGCAATTCTTACTTTCTACGGCGGCCGTATATCCCGGTTGATCGGTTTCTCGAGGGCGGGGCACTGCCCACGACGAAAGAGGCGCAGGTTAGCATTTGTTTATGATACTTCAGTGGATGTAATTCATGATTTTGGAGATTAATCTTGTTAGTAGTCCTAGATTATTGAGATGTGGTCTTTAGTGAATCATCGTTGAACGCTACTTAATTATTAACCTTGCAAATTCTCATAAATTGATTGTCGAAGAAACGTAAACTTTGCTTTACAATCCTTTATTTTTTATACTTCTGTGCTTATAATTGATAATTTAGAGCTCAACCTTGCTAATGTTTCATAGATCAACGATCAAGATGTGATTTTAATTATATTTTGTGATCAGAAGTTGTGAACTTGGCAATTGTTTAGAAATGCCAATTTTTATGAAAGGATGAGGTCGATAACTTATGCAATTTATCACATACAGAAATAAAGGTCATTGATTGTTAGCATACTGGATTAAATATATGAAGATCTCTCCCGCCTTTAGAAGAATAATTCTTCAACCTGTGTCGCGTTTTGTCCTATGTTTATTGTCTAGTAGTGTTGTAAATTGTTCATGTCCTGTTGTTTGATTACAGTCATCCATGTTGAAATTGATGAGTTTTTCTGTGTGCTTCAATTTAGATCTCAGACACGACAATGTGTAGTAAAAAAGTTTGTTTGACATCTATGAGGTTCCATGTTAGAACTTGTGACTATACACACTCTAGATTGCAAACTCATAGATGCTGCAGATTTGTGAAATTCATGTCAATATTTTGATTTTTGAACCTAGCTGAATTGTTGCAGGCTATTGCCGATGATGTATTCTCCCTCTTTGTCAGTGAGGAGGTCGACAAGGTCGAGCTTCTCTACACTAAATTTGTATCCCTCGTCAAGTCTGACCCTGTGCTCCATACTCTCCTTCCTCTCTCTCCCAAGGGCGAGATCTGCGACATCAATGGAGTTTGTGTTGATGCAGCTGAAGATGAGCTCTTCAAGCTTACCACCAAAGAAGGAAAATTAACAGTTGAAAGGGAGACTGTTAGAACCCCAACTCCATCATTCTCTCCAATTCTTAAATTCGAGCAAGACCAAGGGTGAATTTGTTTTTTTAATGCTTGATTTTTTTTAATGTTGTTTGAGAAATATCGTCATTTCATATATTCCTTGGTAAATGCATGCATATCATATATTGTTTCATATTTCTTTAATATTAATATGGCTATGCTTACAATATATATTAGGCATTGGTTTGGAGCTTGTGTAGCTCCTTGCTCTTGTGCTTGTGGCTGTTATTTGGAGCTTGTGTAGCTCCTCATTCGCATTGGTTTGTTGTTGTTTGGTTTGAAGCTTGTGTAGCTCCTTGCTCTTGTGCTTGTGGCTGTTATTTGGAGCATGTGTAGCTCCTCATTCGCATTGGTTTGTTGCTGTTTGGTTTGGAGCTTGTGTAGCTCCTTGAGTTTAGGTTTGTGACTGTTATTTGGAGCTTGTGTAGCTCCTCAATCTCTTCGGAGTTTGTTTTGATCACCTGTAGCTCATTGACGTTGGATTTTTGAGCTGACATTTTGGAGCTGGTGTAGCTTCTTGCTCTTAGGTTTGTTGTTGTTTTGTTTGGAGCTTGTGTAGCTCCTTGCCTTTGGGTTTGTGACTGTTATTTGGAGCGTGTGTAGCTCCTCAAGCTCTTCAGGTTGGTTGTTGTTTTGTTTTGAGCATGTGTAACTCATTGACTTTGATTTGTGGCTAACATTTTGGAGCTAGTGTAGCTCCTTGCTCCTGGGTTTGTTGCTGTTTTGTTTGGAGCTTGTGTAGCTCCTTGCTAGGCGAGGCAATTCATCCTTATAATATAGTGTTTGTCCTTTGAATTCTGAAGTTGGGGGAACTAGCCGTTGCTACAGTGGTTTTGTGTTGATCAGTGAGCTAGCCGTTACTACAGTGATGATCCCTAAAAAAATTTTATTTTGAACCAATTTTGTGTTGATCAGTGAGCTAGCCGTTACTACAGTGATGATCCCTAAAAAAATTTTATTTTGAACCAAACATGGTATTAGGAATTGGAGGGTTTCTATAAAAGTGAGATTCTTTTTTTTTTTGTGTGAAACAAACATAGAATGCAATAAAAATAGGATTCCATAAAATTAAAACTTGTCTATAAATTTTTTATGGATTAGGTTAGAATCCATAAATAAAATAGGATTCCTAATCCTATTCCTAACCTCTATTGAACCAAACAGGCCCTGAGTCAACAAAGGCACATAACATTTCCTCTTCACGATTTGATTTTTTAGGTTTCTTGTTAGAGGATGAATTCATGTTGTCTTTACTCTTAGACTTATATCTAGTGGGTTGTTTTTTGTTACAAGCATCAGATTGTGGTGTAGTTTCACTCTCCTCTGGAATCTTACTATCATCATCAGGAATAGGTATGGGCCTACTAGACCCAATGTTAGCATACACATGCTTAACAAATTCACCCTTAGCTTAGTCATCACCCATGATCACCTGTAAATTTTTAAAATGAGGGAGGGGTTTTTTTATGTATGCTTTGAACTTAGATTTGGATTTATCCTGCAATATCAAATAATCATAAATAACAAAATGTATTAATTACTAATGACAATGTAGATGCTGAATGTTATACCTGAGACCACGATTTTAACGTTTCTTTATCCAGTGTAATCATATTGTTTGTTTCATCCCACCCAGCTCCACTTATATCATGACAAGCCTTCATGTCATTGAATTTGTTTCTCAAGCATTTCAAGTGGTTAATGACATGTATATGAGTGAAAACAATCCTGAATTGCATGTTGATTTTCATCGCTACCATTTTATAAGCTTCTGCCTTAAAGTTCTTGTCTGGCTTTAGCCCATCTAATGCTAATCCTGCAAGATAAGGAATGAGCACATCATTGTGCTATGGAAGTCAGAACTTATTAGCCACACCTCTTGAGTTCAACCTTGTCCCCAGGACCGTTTTGTTATAGGCTAATTTTTTCCTTCTTTCATTGGTGAAGTGTGCTCCTCACCATCAACGTCGTGGATAACCTTCCCAACTGAATTACTAGTGTTTGGTGAAAATTGATTAGGTTCACTACTTTGAGAACTAGTTGTGGGAAATAGCAAACCTTGTGGACTGCTTAACATGCTCACGTATGATATTGGATGCTGTGTCGTTCCACCATAATTGACATCGTATAGTGAGAATGGTGAGGATGTATGACGAGATGAAGTGTAAGGTTGTGGTTGAACATGCGTGAAGTTCATGTTAATCTTAGCAGTTGGATTTGGCGGAGCATTAGATTGAGAAGGCACGGTCTGTTTATCTGCCTGATTGTTAGTCATACCTAATATATATTGCACAAGTAGACATTATTATTAAAGAAATCTAAATCAATATATAATATCCATGCATTTAGCAAACAAGTTAGAAAAGGAATATATGAAACGCCTACGTCTACATATCCACAAATCTATATCAGCCTATATAATTAATTAACTAACAACTACGTCTACATATCCACAAATCTATATCAGCCTATATAATTAATTAACTAACAAATCTATATCAACGCCTATATAATTAAATAACTAATAAGAATATTGTCAACGCCTATATAATTAAATAACTAATAAGAATATTGAAATCGTAAAACCATATATCTACATATCCACGAATCTATATCAAGCAGTGAAACAACTATTTCATATTTTGCACCCTAAGTATGCACGCTGATAAAAAAAACATAATTAAGGTTTTCATTCCATGGTTTAATCGTTTGAAGGACTATAATAACAAAAAAACTAGAGAACCGAAAATCAATAATCAACAATGTACCGAAAACCTTGTTTCATGAGAGATTAGACTTGTAATAAAATTTCAAAACTAGTACTTTCTACTACTAATGTTAATTTCCTCAGAGCAAGCACAATGAAACGATCACATTAAAAGGGTGAAAATATTTTATACCTGCAGCTGCTAAGGGAATAATTCAGAAATCGATGCCGTTGCTAACAAACCCCACCGGACAGAACAGATCCACAAAACCTACCAAAGCCAACAAACCCCACCAGACGGAACAAACCCACCAAAGCCAACAAAGCGTCGAGCCTCATCTTCGAAAAAGAAATCGAAGAGATGAGGCGGGATAAAGGGTCGCGGGAGAAGCCGAAACCAATATCTAGGGCGAAGAAGATTGAGAAGAGGTGGCGAAGCCAAATCCATCAACAGAACCCCACCAACATCATGAATCGAATAACAACGGGAGAGGAGGAGCGAAGAAGCTTGGGGAGAGGTGGGAGAACAATTGAGGGAGTTACCGATTCTAGATCTAGGGCTCGTGCTCGTGAAGAAATGGAATCCGAAAACGAAGAGAAAGGATCGCTGTTAGCTTTTTTGAGCAATTCCTCTCGTGAACTTCTGGTTTGGGTTTCCATAAAACGTCGCTACTGTTCCGCCTTTATAGATTTTGGAATCCATAAATTTTTTCTGAGTCAAATTCCAAATTAGGATTGATAAAGAATCCAAATATTACGTTTTTACCATTGTGTGATCCAAATACCAATCTTTATCTATAAATTGGGTGAAACAAACCGCCCCTAACACTAGTCTTCTTTGATTGACCCACCACAATCATTAGCACTAATCCATAATCTGCGGTGCCATTACTCAGCAGTTACGGGAATAGCTACGCGCCGGCAACGTGTATTAAGATGTTGACTATCCCTAGCTGTAGGCCTTTCGGGATAGATACCCCAGAATCGAAACTGCTGGTGTCCTTTTTCAAGAATCGGTAAAAGACTAAACCAGGCGAACGGCGTGTTCAGGCGTCGGCATATCCTTTGCTTAGGATTGCAGGATGAAATTCCCATGCGTGTAAGGCATGATTTTGTGTCTCACTCTAATAACAACCTGCCATAAATGTTGAATAATGTGGACGGATGTTCTTTTTCACGGTTAAGAACTAAGCCTGGGCAGCGCGGGTTAGGCACAGGACTTATCCTTGCTTAGGTTATCAGGATAGAATACGCAGAATTCGAACCTGGTGGGCGGCGGGGGTTCTTTGTACGGAAAAAGACTAAACCGGCGACGCCGTGTTAGGCGTTGACTTATCCCTACTTAAGGATATCAGGATAAAATTCCCTGTACAGTGTGAGGCACAGCGATTTTGGGATTTGAAAAAGTGGTGTCTTCTCTTAGGGGCAGAAGACGAACGTGCCGGAAATGGGAGAGAAGATATTTTATATTCTAATCGTCGCCGACAAATGAAAGAAGAAGAATTTTAATATCTATCTTCAACTGGAAGGGAGAACTCGAGGGTGGGATCTCACCCGCGCGAGAATCCGGAAAGGTGAATACTGAGAGTGAAAATGCTGCCACCTCGAGATATCAAAAAGATTCAGTAACCATAACTGTTCGGAAGGTTTGAATTACTGAACTAAAGATGAATGTTCTCGTTATCGAGAGTGAATTATGGTTTTTGAACCCTAACTGTAGGAAGGTTGGCCAAACAGGAGTATTGGGTGACCTAACTGTAGGAAAGGTTTGATGGCACATCGATTTGGAAATGGACCTCTCGGTTCATTGAGGAATCGAGAGGGGATTTTGACTGTGGTCCTAACTGTAAGAATGTATTGACGCAATTGGGAAGATTTATGTCCAGAGCTTCTAAGACAGTGAGAGTGTTGGAGTACAACAGACCGGTAAGAATTTGAATGGGAAATCTTAATTCATTACATTGCTGAGGTTTTGGGAACTTCCCGTTACATAATCGTCCACCCGCCAGTTTCCTCTGCGGAACTCCGGTTCGGATATTATTATCAGTTACCTAACGCGGGTTTATCTTAGAATATTAGCTTTAATATTCTCCAGGAACTTCCCGCGTCAAAAGTGAGGAAAGACAGTTTAGAACTCATATACCTATTGGAGTATCAGGCGAGTAGTTTAACTTTTACCAGGTCGGCGAGGATTGAGAAACAGTTTATAAATACTTTCGTAGACTCCTTATGGAGTTTTGAAGAAGGCAGTTTATACTCTATATAACTTATCGGAGTCTTTGCCAGTTCTCAATTGGTCTTACTCATCTCAGCCCTTACCGCATTGCCCAGCCCCTTCCAGCGCCTTTGCCTGCGGCCTGACATGATTGAAGATCTGAGGACTTTTGAGTTTTTGAGTTTTCTGGAGATGTTGAAGGTGAGGAGCTGGTGATGGCGATATGGGGGGGCGATTTATAGGGTTT